TTGGTAAAAGAAGTCGTTTTGGACAGCGACACGGTCTCCAAAGCATAACTTTGACTTCCTATTTTTATAAAAATATTTATTGAAAAGTGATATATGTGTATTTTTATGAAGACAAATCTATTCATGTGGTTTTCACATTTTCAAACTCAACAACTTAAAAGTTATTCATAATTTATATTCCCAATGTTTGACCCAAACCTTGTCCAAAACGACTTCTTTTACCAACCTGGAGGGAGTATACTTTTCTATCCTGTAATCAGATTGCAGATAAGATTTCCTCGTGTTTTTCTTGTTGTTGAGAAAATTTATATTAAATTTATTTAAACACTGCACGAATTTTGCATTATAACTCATTGAGATTAGCTTTATACCACAATAATAGTTTTCTAGTAGTCCTCCCATGCACAATCATAGTTCCAGAAATCATTATTTTCAAGCATCCTTTACTGTGACTAGCAAGGTTTTGGTATAATGAACATCCATGCAACTAGTGCTTGAAATTAAGTAAAACGTGGCCTTGGAACTCAGATCAGAAAAATAGACCAAACATATCTACTGATGAGTAACTGATATACATGTCAGCAGTCCTCTTATCCTTAAGAGGGCCCCTCTCAGCCATCAGTTGTTGCACTGTTTTCTGGTTGTCATTGATATACAGCAATAGGTTATCTTATTGCGTTCATATTTCTTAATAAGCTCATAGAGCCTTTCCTCGGAGCTAATAATTCCAGCTGCACCTTTTAGGATTCAATGGCACACATCTGGAAGCTAATTGTTTCAGATCCGAAAAATGCAATAGATGATGATGACATAGTAGAGGATCTATTGGTTCAATCTGGATCGAGGCTTTGGCGCTCACGAGAAGCATCCTGTCTTGCACTTGCAGACATCATCCAAGGTCGAAGATATAGTCAGGTAACATTCATGGTGTTATGGAAATTCTGAATAGCTCAATATTTCATTTGACATGAGCTATATTAAAGTGTTTGTATGAATCTGACTTTGGATTTCTTTTAAGAACAATTACAAGTCACCTTTTTATTTGTTCTTTAGGTTTGTAAACATTTGAGAAAAATATGGACAACCACCTTCCGTGCAATGGATGACATAAAGGAAACTGTGCGAACTGCTGGTGACAGTTTGTGCCGAGCCGTAAGCTCATTGACAATTAGGCTCTGTGATATATCACTAACTTCTACTTCTGATGCAAACGAAACAATGAACATTGTGCTGCCATACTTGCTTTCTGAGGGCATACTCAGTAAAGTTCCAAGTGTTCAAAAAGCTGCTATTAGTTTGGTCATGAAGCTTGCTAAGGTATATTGATGGTAAACTTTAACAAGTCTAGTTGCAATATCTGCCATAATGAGTTATATTGAAACCATGTGATATTTCACCAAATTCGATGAATTTTTTGTCTAACAATTGTGTTTCAACTCTAACATACTGACCACTGAGTGAACAATAGATCATAGAACTTTATATCTATTCATATCCTAATCAAACATTGAAGTTCCTCAAGGTGGTATCAAAGAGAAACTTTCTATTACCTCTACTTTCTAATCAATTTCATATGTTTATTCCACTTGAACTTATATAAATTGCAATTTCTCCAGTTCCTTGTTTGGATGCCAATAGCCTAATTCAGCATTAGCCTTGTTGTACGAACATTATTATTTGAAAACACGAACAGGATTGTCATTTTTATGTGGTTGGCACTTGGCCGAATGCCTCAAGAGTATTCTAACTTCTTTCTTAAAGTAAAGGAACACAGAGCCCTAGAATTTGTTAAGTAATGTTACGAAAGGAAACAAATCAAAAGGAAAGAAACATGAAAGGTTCTTATTACTGCGGGCAAAATAAAATTACTACTTTGCCTATGCACAGACTACAGCTTCTAGTTCCTCTGCTTATGTAGATGCCATCACCAAAATAATTAACTAAAGAGATGTCTTAAGCTCATGGCTTCCTGATGTCTTCAGGGTGCTGGTCCTGCCCTTCGTCCTCATCTGCCAGAACTTGTTAGTTGTATGCTTGAATGTTTGTCAAGTCTGGAGGATCAAAGGTTGAATTATGTTGAGGTATGCTAATTTTCCCCACTTCTATAAAGACTGATGGTGATGATGTTGCACGTCTATATCTGACAGATGCAATATTTTACTCACTCCTGCCTTTGGATCAAAGATGCATGCAGGGAATGTTGGCATCAAAACTGATAAGCTTGAAAGCTTCCGTATAGCTGTGGCTAAAGATTCTCCAATGTGGGAAACTCTTGATATCTGTATAAAAATTGTTGATAAGAATTCACTTGATCTATTGGTTCCTCGCCTGGCTCAAATGGTTAGATCAGCTGTTGGCTTAAATACAAGGTTAGGATTGCATGTACAATCTTATTCATTATATCCTCAAATGCTTCATTTCTCACTACTTCAATCATGTGGTATTGTTCATTTCTGTCTGATTCCAGGGTTGGTGTTGCTAGCTTCATAACCTTGTTGGTGCAGAAGGTCATGGTTGACATCAAACCATTCACACCAATATTACTGAAGTTATTGTATAGTGCTGTTCTGGAGGAAAGGAGTTCTGCCGCTAAAAAGGCTTTCGCGTCCTCTTGTGCAACTGTTTTGCAATACGCTAGTCCTCCCCAGGCTCAGAAGCTTATTGAAGATACTACCTCTCTGCATTCAGGTGGGAAAAACGATCAGTTATCTGGTGCAATTCTTATTAAAGCCTACTTGAGCAATGCATCGGATGTTCTTGGTGGATATAATGCGGTGGTTATCCCTGTAATTTTTGTGTCGAGGTATGTGAAGGACACATTTATCTACCTTGCATTTTCTTGATTCCTAGTGTTTCAAATATTCATAATGCCTTCAGTTTAGTTGAAATACAGAAACCTTTCCATGTGTATAAACGAAACTTTGTTTCAGGTTTGATGATGATAAAGACACCAGTACGTGCTTTATATGAAGAACTTTGGGAGGATATTCCTACTAGTGAAAGAGTAACCCTAACACTATATTTACCAGAAATTGTATCTCTTTTATGTGATGGCATGTCATTGTCATCATGGGCTGGTAAAAGAAAGGTACAGTCCTATTTCATAATTTGCTTGTCCATATGCATATCAGATAATAATAGTTAAAAGTCCTGTACCTTGTAATATACTTACTGTACAGCCTTCTCCTTCCAGTCAGCCAAGGCTATAAAGAAGCTATGTGATATTCTTGGAGAACCCCTATCAGCACACTACCAGAATATTCTCAAATCACTTTTGAAAGAATTGCCAGGTCGATTCTGGGAGGTAATTCACGCTATCATTCATTTGTTCATGGAATGATAAGTGGATTGTCTGCTTATACATTGTTTTGGAAATTTATCCATGTCTTGGTTGTTGGTACATAATTAATTTTGTTCCCTTACATTTTTCAACAGGGAAAAGATGCTATTCTGGACGCATTGGCTTCATTGTGTTCTTGCTGTCATGTTGCTATAACTGCAGAAGACTCCAGCTTGCCAAGTGTTATACTAAATGCTGTGTGTGCTGCGTGCAGTAGGAAATCAAAATTGTACCGTGAAGCAGCCTTCTTGTGTCTACACAAGGTATTTTTCTTCAATTCTCATTTACTTTTCGGAACCCATTTTCACTAGCAGATGCTGTAGTGTTATTTTTTGTTGGCCAGCGTTTTCTCTAGTGGACCAAAATTTTCTTTAATAAAACAAATTTTAACTGTTGCAGAAATGTACCTTTTAGCATCATGCTAAAGATTTACTAGATTTTTTCTTGAGGGTGTTAGCTTATTTTTCCATTTTCTGACTGCAAGGTTTGCAATGATATAGCCTTTTAGATACTATTTCAAAATTTTAGAATCGGTACCATTTACCTAGTGTTCTTTTCCATCATTTTTCAGGTGATTGCAGCATTCAGAGATCCAGGATTTTTCAATAGTGTGTTTCCAATGTTGTACGAGGTTTCTAACCAATCTGTCATTTCGAAGACAAAAGGCTCTGCTGGTGCGGGTGAGTCATTATTTTGAATATTTCATTCAGTTAATGACTATTCTTAACAAAACCTTTTGTAATTGAATACAAGAATATCTGATATCTGATGCTCTCTTTTATATCTATAGTTGTAGGATCACACATTTTTAGTTCTGAGGACCTTTTCAAGAATAGCTTGAAGCTTGATGAGGCACTTCTAGAATAATACATTCATACCCTTCGTGTAGCAAAATTTCATCTACAGAGAGGCTTAGGATATAATTTTCAAATTTTGCTCTAGTATGGAATATGATCATTCTAATTTGCCGAATTTGTTATCACTGATTGAATTGTCTTTCTGAATCAATAAGTGAAGCCTCAACTAATCCTGACTTGATCTTACTGTTAATAAATTGAACTGAAATACAACCATTATAAAATTCCTGGTTAAATGCATGATATATTTGGCATGCAATCATCTTATATAATCTATCTCTATTGTATCTCCAAATACTTCTTTCACTCCTTCAAAATTTATGTATGGGTTCTTTTCTGCAGAACTAGATGAAAGTGAAGGTGCTTCTATTTCTCTGGATAAAGTGCTCAATTGTGCAACATCTTGCATCAGTGTCGCTTTTCCACGGGATATTATCAACCAAAAGAAGAATGTTTTAGAACTAATATTGAATTCTCTCTCACCTGAGGAGAGTTGGCAAGGTATGATATATGGGATCCGTAATCTAATTCTAAACATCTTTTGGATATTTCTGTCCCATGGTTGCAAATCATCATAGTAACGCTTATTATTTTTTCATGAACAGTTAAACTATCATCCTTCTTGTGTATCAAAGAGTTGTGCCTGAAATTTCACAGTTCTGGTGATAGTAGCACATGGCCTCAAGACACAGCTTACTTGGTTCAGGAGGTATATCCTGTAGTTTGTTTGTCTCTATATTCAGCTTCAGGTTGCCGTTGGTTTTCATTGCTTCTGACATATATTTTCTGTTTAATTTTTTCAGTTATTTCATTTGGTATCACCAAAATTAGTAGACTCCATAAGATTAGTAAAGATTGCTCAGGTAATTTTCTATATGTCTAGTCCTCCCTAGCTGATGTTGAAATATATTTGCCTATTATTTGTTACCATCTGATAACACCTTTACCTGTAGATAATGCGTTGTCTTCCTGCTAATGGATAATAATTAACACTCACTTTAATTTAAAATATGTGCCTATAACATGTATTTTTTATGGAATAAAGCATGTAAACATTGTAATATTGCACTTGACAGTTTAAGCATGGTTTAATAGCATTGCCCTGGATTTAGCAGTGTGTATACTTGTCTATGATTCCATTAATGATGATAAGAAAAGTTGCAATGCCTTTTCACTCATCGAAGCTGCTTTGGCATTTTGGCAATGTTTTCTGTCAAATTTACTTGTCACGTGTCAAACAAGTAACTTCAAACCAATTATTGGAAAACTGCATAAGTGCTTTATGTAAGGAGCAAGATTATGTTTTCAGATAAATCACTCAGGTGACCATTAGGGTCTACTCTATTTCTTTAAGATTCAAATATGCATTTGTCTCATTGTTTAACTACCTTTTTTAATCTGCTCAGTTCTTAATTAAATGCCCCTGGCATATAATAAATCATGGTGGCTGGCAGATCTTAATTAATTAGCCCTGACATTTAATAAATCATGGATGCTAAGTTAGTTTGGTTTTCCTGTTCGCAGGTCAGATGTCATGGCTGCTACCAGTGAAATTACTGGAATAAGTGCTGGCCAACAGAACCCTAATGTTCCTGTTTCACAATACTTACATCTGTCATACATGATAACACGAATGGTGCAAAGGTTGTCTGGAATTGCCATAAGTAGTCCACAATATGAGGTTACATCCATGTAAATACTAAATAGTAAAACAGACCCATGGCTGTTTCTTAAACCAGTGGTTTTAGAAGCTGTTGCTGAGTTTGCCATTAGCCGTTAGTGTCCAGACCAAACCTTGTTCCTCATGAGTCACGACTTATCACCTATTTGCAGGTTCACATTGCTGCTTCGGAATGTGTTCTTGATTTGAGCAAACTGTACAGAGACTTCCCGTTATTGGACAGAACAGAGGCCAAGTTCGAGGATGAACTTACAGAGCTCTGCGAGTCTGAAAAAAGTGAACAAGCAAAGACAATTCTGAAGGAATGCCTAGCCATCCTTAAAACTCTCCCTGGAGTAACCATGACGACAGATTAAAAACTAGCACAGGGAACATGTAAAGTTCTTGTGGTGATTGTATATTCATTCCGATATATGCATATAGTACAGAATATGGCGAAGCTCTCCCTCCATTTTATGTCAGAGGGCTGGGCAAGAAAAGGCACATGCTTCGATTAGTTTGCTCATTTGTTGCCTAGATCCTTAACCGTGATATTCTGATACATGTGCGTGTAAGAAACACGGGATTGCCCGGCAGCAAGAAACTGTTGCTGCAGCATTTCGCAGTTGTGCCGTCCATCCAATATAACGGTAAGATACCAAAGATCAGATTTTTGAAAATGTTATTTTCCGTCAGCACAACCAATGAGGCCCCCACATTGCTGGTGAAGTATGTAGATGTTACGTCTGGACCTGCTACTGTACAGGCTGAAGACGGACTGGAGCCGCAGGCTGAAGACGGACTGGAGCCGCAGGAGAAGAATGGGCCGCAGCTGCGAAGGTCCATCCGGCCCAGGCTTCCTAACCAGCGCATCTCGGGTAAGAATGGGCCAAGTTGTGAAGCTTCAGCATCATACATACGGAGTGTTGTGAGAAGAGAGGGCATCAAAGATTATTGTAACAAACTCTTACTTCCGCCTGCAAGCTTCCTCTGACCCCCATCCTCGTGCTCTGCTGCCTACCCCTGCTCCATTCCTGCTACCTGCCTAAACTCTGTAAGATTGATACTCCAAATACTAGAACTCACCATGAGCGTAACAAATTGGTACTTAGAGCCGAATCCGCAGCGCCACGATCCACCACTCCCTCGACTGCTTGCTTTTCGGAGTCGAGGTCCTCGCCGGTGTTTCCGCTGGAGCCCCACGAGATCTTCCACGACCACTTCACCCGGTTCCGCAAGCAGCTGGGCGATATGGATCCTAACACAAAGCTCATCCTCGACGAACTCCGATCTGTGCAGTCGAATCTCACCGCCCGCATGGATTTGGTGGAGAACTCTGTCGGCAAGCGCGTCGCCTCCCTGGAGGATGCGGCCAAGGCGTTCGACGCTTGGCGGCCGAAGATGGATGCGACCGTGGAGGAATTGCGTGCGGAGGTGGATGCGATTCGGAAGACGGATGAGAAGGTGGAGACGCTGCGGGAAGAGATGACCGCCTTGTGCAAGTCCGTGAGCCGCTCCGTCCTCGAAGCCGGGCCGGCCATGCCAGCCGGTGTGCTGCCGCCGCCTCCAAAGGTGTCCGCCGCGTCGATTCCCGCTGGATTGGGTGGGGGTGATGGCTTTCCGCGTCGCACTTGGCATGGGGAAGGGGTTCCTGGAGCCAATTGGTTTAGGGAGGGAACTCACGAACACATACCCAAAATGAATTTTCCCCCATTTGATGGAGAGAACCCAAAATTGTGGATAGGACGTTGTTTGGATTATTTTGACATGTATACGGTACCACACCACCGCTGGGTTAAGGTCGCCACCATGCACATGACAGCGGCCGCGGCTCGTTGGTTCCAATCGGTGGAAGATCAGATTCGTCAGGGAACTTGGGAATTCTTTTGTCAGGCTATCATGGAGTGCTTTGGTAAGGATCAGCATGCTCTTCTGATCCGCCGGCTCTTCCACATATACCAAGCTGGGTCCGTGCAGGAGTATATTCAGTGCCGGCCCTAAGGGTAGGCCACCAGGTGCGACGGCCGAGGACCCAAGCGGAGGAGGGGCCCAAACCCAGATATACAAACCCCCAGGTCCTATAGTCCATTAGGCATTAGCAAACTAATGAGAAGAGAGACATAGAACTAGTCAGGTGGCCCAAAAAGACAACATCAGCATTTCTTTCCTAGTTTTCTGTCCCCACGGCCCTTGGGTAGAGAGGAGGCGAGGAGTCACGCTGCACACAGCACACTCTGATCGTGAGTTCGCGACATGCGCCTTACACATACGGAGCTGGCGAGCCGCGCCGCCGCAAAGAGCTAGACTACCAGAGACACGGACGTGGCGCACGAGGACGGCAACCAGGCAGGGCTCCACGACGACGACATCTTGATTCTTGGCTTCTTACGAATTGCAATCACCGATCAGTTGTTTAGACCAAAGGTATTTTTTCCTTTTTATTTTTAATCCAAATTAATTATTTGTATAGTATTCCAGACTTCTAGTACTTTGTACTCATATAGTCATATTTTTCTTTTAACTTAGGTGTTAGAATTTTAGAATGTTACCTAAGAAACATTTGTCATAGGTGAGAAAAGAAAACGAATATATTGCTTTTTTAATCTATATTGTTCCTCGATAATTATCATACATCTACAAATATATTGCTTAATCTATATTGTTCCTCGATAATTATCAGACATGTTAAATTAAAAATATGTTATTGAATTTGCTTTCATTTTGCAAGTAAAATTAGTACCTATATATTATAAGATTTTATACATGCTCAAGAGGGGCCGTTGCGACGAGATCGCAAAAGGGTCCTTAAGATCCTAGGACCGGCACTGAGTATATTGATAAGTACACTGGCCTAGTTGAGCAATTGATCGCCTATGGTCGCAATACCGATCCTCTGTACTATGCTATGCGTTTTGTTGATGGCCACCGTGCTGATATTCGTGCTGCTGTACATTTGCAACATCCTGCTACTCTGGATACTGCCTGCATGCTCGCCTTGTTGCAGGAAGAGTTGGTGGAGCCGGGACGTCGGCGGGTTGTTCGGCGACCGGAGCCGTTCACTTTTTCCAAGGCGGCGCCGCGAGGTCCCTTGCCCCTGCCCCTGCCGCCTCTCCGGACTGAACGCCAGGACAAGCCGGCCGTGCCAGGAGCTGGGCCGAATGACAAGCGCGGCCGTGGCATTGAGTCCAATCTGAACACCCTGCGCGACTACCGCCGAGCTCGAGGTCTCTGCATCCATTGTGGCGACAAATGGTTCCGCAATCACAAGTGTTCAGAGACTGTCCAACTACATGTCTTACAGGAGTTCTGGGACATCTGTCATTCGGAGGACTGCTCAGATGCAGCATCGGTTCAGGATGATGATGCACCCCAGTGCGCGGCTATCTCCATGGCAGCATCAGGTAGTACTTGACCTGCTCGTGCTATTCAGTTTTTGGGCACTGTCCAGGGACATCCGGCTCGTATTTTGGTGGACTCCGGAAGCACTCGTACTTTTGTCAGTCAAACTCTGGCCTCTCAGCTGTCTGGGTATCTACTTTCAGCCTTGCTCTCCAGGTCACCGTAGCTGATGGATCTCAAGTGACTTGTTGCTCCCAAATTGATCAGTTGTCTTGGTCTGTTCAACAATGTGACTTTGTTTCCGCAGCCAAAATTTTGCCTCTGACGTCTTATGAGCTGATTGTCGGCATGGACTGGTTGGCTTCTCGCAGCCCGATGCAGGTGGATTGGCACAACAAATGGATGATCATTTCCTACGGTCAAGGCCACAGTTTCTTGCAAGGTGAGCTGATGAGTCTGCCCGCCGGTTCTGTCATTCAGGTTACCACTATATTGTCAGATGATACTGTAGCTCGTCAGGAGTCTGTTTCGCCTGAGATTGCAGCACTCTTAACAGAATTTCAATCTGTCTTTGCTCCTCCGGCTGTCTATCCGCCGGCACGCCATTGTGACCATGCCATTCCATTGATTCCTGGTACCGGTCCATTCTCAGTAAGGCCCTATCATTACTCTCCCTTGCTTAAGGATGAAATTGAGCGTCAAGTTACTGAAATGCTGCAAGCCGGACTGATCCAGCCCAGTTCTAGTCCATTTTCTTCATCAGTTCTAGGCCACATTGCTGGTGAAGTATGTAGACTGTCCCAAACCTTTATTACTCGTTTCTGCAAACACAATTTGCGTCCAGGAAAACCCAGATTATTCAGAATTATCCAACAGCAGGTACAAATGTGTGAATCAAATGTTTTCAGAGTATGTCCACGAAATTGCAAACTAAAGTAAAAACTTTAGGGACATTCATATGACTCGTCTGTATACATAAGTAAACAAAACGTGTGATAACACAAACTGATACATTTCTCTTCGGAGTGCTTGAAAAGGTTTTCAGCGACTCAGGTAGTTAGCTTGCGCAGAGCAGTCGCAGTCTTGGAACCCAGTGGCCTGCCCAATTCCTTGGAAATGTAATCACCAGCCTCCATGAGCTTGTTGAGGTCGACGTTGGTCTTTATCCCCAGGCCATGGAGCATGTACACAACATCCTCTGTGGCAACATTGCCAGTGGCGCCCTTTGCATATGGGCAGCCTCCAAGGCCTGACACTGATGAGTCCACTACGTTGATCCCCATCTGACAAAACAAGAAATGTGCGTGTTAGGCTAAGGTGTGATTTCTGTGAATGTCGTGGACCAATGAAGAGACAAAAAGTTATCGTTGCTTACTTGAAGGGAGACAAGGATGTTGGCGAGGGCTTGCCCATATGTATCATGAAAATGAACAGCAATCTTGTCTAGTGGAACAAACGCCATGACAGCTTGAAAAGCATACCAACCACGCTACCTGAAACAGAGATGTTGCAGTTAGTAGTTACTTTAGTCAGTCTCCACATACTGTTAGTAAACTTAGGCAGGGAGAACAGTACCTGGTGTCCCAACACCAGTTGTGTCGCCAAGTGAAATCTCCGAGCAGCCCATGTTGTAAAGCTCCTTAGCTACATATGCCACTTTCGATGGATCGATTGCGCCTTCAACAGGGCAACCAATCACACGTGAAACATACCTAACATGAACAGATGAAGCAAGATTCAGACCACATCACCGCTGAAACGCCTGAGTCACCCAACTCGTCAATTATCAGACTTAAAGAGGTTAAAAGTTGATTAACTTACCCCCGGATAGTTAGTCCATGTTTCATGGCAGCTGCTGTAACATCACGGTACCGAACAAGGCTTTGCTCAATGGTACAGTTAATGTTCGACTTAGAGAAGGATTCAGAGGCGGATGCAAAAACCGCAATTTCTTTTGCCCCAGCTGCAATAGCAGCCTCAAATCCCTGTAAAACACTCAATTCATTAGTACAGATCACATCTTGTAGTAGCAAATATGTACATTTCTTAGAGGAAATGAAATGATGTCAGAACTTACTCTGAGGTTAGGGATTAACACCGGATACTGCACACCTGGCTCCTGCTGGATACCTTTCAGGACCTCCTTTGCATCAGCAAGCTGCAGTTTCCAGACAGAGCTAGATAAGAACTTAACGACCTTTTTCATCGAAACATAAAACATGCCATTATCGTAGTCACTAACTAACTGTTAGCTAATCTACTACCACCTTGTATGAAACACAGCAGAGGAAGGCGGCGCCGACTTTGCCCCCTGCTGTAATACTGTAGCCGCTGCAGGTGCAGGCGCCGCACGGCTCACCAAGCAAAGATCAGAGGCACATGCGATTGGGGTCAAGCAGAGTCAGCCCCCACATGCTTATCTAGTTATTGTTATAAAGACATGCTGCTGTACTTTAGTTAGATAGATAGAGTTGTATAAATAGGGCACCAAGGCAACTCGGTAAAGAGAGCTCAGATTTGCCATCACACGACAGGCGGGGCCTCGGCCAACGTTGTTGTATTGTATTGTGCGTGCTTGCTCTGTTCTCCCTTCTTCTTCTAGCTCGATCTGTAGTGTGTGGGTACGGACACAACCGGTATAGTGGTCTGGGAGACTAGTGGTCTGGGGACTAGTGGTCTAGTCTAGGAGACTAGTGTGGTCTGGTCTGGGAGACTAGTGGTGTGGGAAGACTAGTGGTCTGGTCTGGGAGACTAGTTCACTATCGTCAGACGGTGATCCCGTGGGCCAACAAGTGGTATCAGAGCCGTGCAAGCGCCGTCGTCATTCTAACCGACGGCGATGACAAGCGGTTTGAGTTAGGCGATGGCGGTGGCAGCATCATAGCTGCCTGACCACTACCGGAGGTAGTTGTCCGCCACGGTGCGGGAGGTCGGCGGCACCACTTGGCCGGCCGACTCGCACTAACTATGGAGAGTGGTCGGTGACCATGAAGGTCAAGCTCGAGCCCAGCGGCTGCGGAATGCTGTTGACAAGGGCATCGACGTGGAAGAAGACGACATGTCAGCGTTGGAGGCTATCCTCGTTGCTGTACCGGTGGAGTACAGGGAACCGTTGGGGACGAAAAGCTCAGCTAAGGAGGCGTGGGAGGCCATTGCGGCAATGCGCGTCGGTTCCGACCGCGCAAAAAAGACAACAGCCCAGCTTCTGAAGCAGGAGTACGCAAACCTCAAGTTCAAGGATGGTGAAACAGTGGAGGACTTTTCCCTCCGCCTGCAGACGCTCATCAGCAAGCTGAAGAGCCATGGCGTCACCATCGACGAAGAGGAGACGGTCTCCAAATTCCTTCACTCCGTGCCGGCAAAGTACATCCAGATCGCTCTCTCCATAGAGACGATGCTGGACTTGTCCACCCTCACCATCGAGGATGTGGCAGGCCGTCTGCGGGCGGTGGACGAGCGCTACCGTGCGGTGATAAACAACGAAGGACGGCTGGAAACTCCTGGCCGACGGAAGAGGAGTGGGCTGCTTTCGGCGAAACTCCGTGAAGGCAGCCTCCTCCGGTCGCGGTGGCAGCGGTAAACATCGTGGCGGGGCTTCTTCGGAGAAGAAGCAAATCGACTCAACGCTTGTCGTGTTGTTGCGGGAAGATGGGCCATTGGGCAGTGAGTGCCCAAATCGCAAGAAGGAAAAGAAGGCTCGAGGCTCACTGGCGAAAGTCGATGATGAGGATGAGGCCACTATCCTTATGGCGACGTTACGTAATCGCATGCGACATCGAGGCCATGGAGAGGGAAGAGGCGGCGATGGTGGAAGGATCTAGCAAGGCCTCAAGATCATCAACCTCGACGAACCAAGCCCAAGTCCATCTTGGGCATGTGGGCGTCGACCAGAGCAGCGGTGGTATTCGGACTCACGGTGCCAAGTAACCACATGACGGGCTCAAAGGACTCCTTCTCCGAGCTCAACGGTGATGTTACCGGTACGGTGAAGTTTGGTGACGGCTCAAGGGTGGCTATCCAAGGGCGCGGCACCATCATCTTCAGATGCCAGAATGGGGAGCACCGCGCGCTAACGGATGTATACTACATCCCGCGGTGCGTTCGGCATCATCGACATTGGTCGGTGGATGAGCGCGGTAGCGAGGTTCTGATCAAGGACGGCGTTCTGAGGATCAGAGACCGGGAGCAGCGACTTCTCGCCAAGGTGAAGAGGTCCCTGAACCGGTTGTACCTGCTCGACCTGAAGGTAGAGCAGCCGGTTTGCCTGGCGGCAAGGCACTCCGAGAAACCGTGGATGTGGCATGCCCGACTCGGACATATCAGCTTCGACGCGCTTGGTCGGCTGGGGAAGATGGTCCGAGGGCTACCCCACATCAAACAAGGAGGCGAGCTGTGTGACAGCTGCCTGGCCGGGAAGCAGAGGAGGCTACCTTTCCCAAAGGCGGCCAAGTATCACGCGAAGGAAGCTCTCGAGCTAGTTCACGGCGACCTCTGCGGGCCGATCACGCCTGCTACATGCGGTGGTTGGTGGTACTTCCTCCTGCTCGTGGACGATTGCAGTCGCTACATGTGGCTGCAACTCCTGACGAGCAAGGACGAAGCGGCGGTGGCGATCAAGAAGTTCAAGACGCGCGCGGAGGCCAAGAGCGGCAAGAAGCTCCGTGTACTGAGGACTGATCGGGGTGGTGAATTCACTTCGGTGGAGTTTGCTACGTACTGCGCAGATTAAGGTGTGGGGCAACATCACGCCGCGCCGTACTCGCCACAACAGAATGGCGTGGTGGAGCGACGGAACCAAATAGTGGTCGGCATGGCCCGATCCATGATGAAGGCCAAAGGGATGCCGGCAAAGTTCTGGGGAGAGGCGGTGACCACGGCGGTGTTCATCCTCAACCACGCTCCAACAAAAGCCCTAACGGGCAAGACGCCGTTCGAAGCTTGGTACGAGAGCAAGCCGAACGTGTCATTCCTCCGGACATTCGGTTGCATCGGCCACGTCAGGAAGACGAAGCCGAACCTCACCAAGCTAGAGGACAGGAGCACACCCATGGTGTTCCTGGGCTACGCGGAGGGTACCAAGGCGTACCGGCTCTATGACCCACGCGAAGACAAGGTGACTGTCTTGCGCGACGTTGTGTTCAACGAGGAGGCAGCTTGGGACTGGCACAGTCTGAGCACGGGGAAGCGGGAGGCTTCACCAACACCTTCGTCGTCGAGCACTTGGTCATCCACGGCGGTGGAGACGCTGCGGAACAGGTGCCACGCACTCCGAGAGGAGCGCCGAGCACTCCGGCGGTAGAGTCGAGCACTTCTGGAGGAATGCCAAGCATGCTAGGAGTGGAGCCAGGAGGTTCTGCAGTGGTGGTGACCACTTCAGAACGGGTGCCGAGTACTCCCGTGGCGGAGCCAAGACATCTTACTGTGGTTCCGACCACTCCAAGACTGAGGCTGGGCACTCCTACAGTGTGGCCGAACACTACAGGAGTTATGACGAGCAGTCCAGAAGCAGTGTCGAGCACTTCAGGTGCTATGCAGGGCACTCCGGTGGAAGAAGGAACTCCATCACCCCCGATCGAGTTCGCCTCACCTCCAAGTGACATCACTGAGTTCGTGGACGCCTACCACAAAGGCGAGGAGTTGAGGTTCTGCAGGCTGGACGACATCGTCGGCGGCACAGGTCCCTTAGGTCTGGCGGGTAGGCTGCTCAACGACGCAGAGCTGCTACTCGTCAGTGCAGAGGAACCACCCATGTTCGCGCTAGCCGAGCACGATGGAAACTGGCGACGGGCAATGCTGGAGGAGATGAAGGCGATCGAGGAAAACGAGACTTGGCAGCTCGTCGACCACCCCCAGGATGCCGTCCGATCAGCCTGAAGTGGGTGTACAAAGTCAAAAGGGACGAGCTCGGCGCCATTGTCAAGTACAAGGCGCGCCTCGTCGCCCGAGGCTTTGTCCAGCGCGAGGGTATCGACTTCGAGGAGGTCTTTGCACCAGTAGCGCGCATGGAGTCGGTCCATTTGCTACTTGCTTTGGCGACAGCAAAGGACTGGCGCGTCCATCACTTGGACGTTAAAACGGCCTTCCTCAATGGTGAGCTGGCGGAAACGGTCTTCGTCAGGCAACCTCTAGGGTTCGCTGTCAAGAGAGAGGAGCACAGGGTGCTCCGACTGCGCAAAGCGCTCTACGGGCTGCGGCAAACCCCTCGAGCATGGAACGCCAAGCTTGACACCACGCTGGGCGAGCTTGGGTTTCAGAGGTGCGCAACCGAGCACGCGCTCTACACGCGACGACGGGGGAAGGAAGAACTCGTGGTCGGCGTGTATGTGGATGACTTAATCGTCACCGGCGCGCGCACGGAGGATATCAACAGCTTCAAGCGAGAGATGGCAGCTCGTTTCCGAATGAGCGATCTCGGCGCTCTCTCCTACTACCTCGGCATCGAGGTGAGACAGGAGAAGGAGGAACTCATGCTTGGGCAAAGCGCGTATGCCTCCAAGCTGTTGGAGAGGAGCGGCATGGTGGAGTGCAAACCATGTGTGACTCCGATGGAGGAGCGGCTGAAGCTAACGAAGGACAGCACCGCGGCGAAAGTAGATGCAACACTCTACCGGAGCATCTTCGGCGATCTGCGCTACCTAGTCCACACAAGGCCGGACATTGCGTTCGTCGTGGGCTACGTCAGTCGCTTCATGAAGGATCCCAGAGAGGATCACTGGGCTACGGTGAAGCGGCTACTACGCTACGTCAAGGGGACGGTGAATCATGGAATCATCTTCTCAAAGACCAGGGGAAGTAGGCTACAGCTCACGGTGTTCAGCGATGCAGACATGGCGGGGGACATCGACGGATGACGGAGCACCTCTGGCGTACTCGTCTTCCTCGGGTCGGCCCCAATTTCATGGCTGTCGCTGAAACAGAAGGTGGTGCCGCTATCTCACGCGCGCGGCGATACGTGGCGGCGGCCACAATGGCGTGCCAAGTTGTGTGGCTACGCCGCTGCCGGGCGAAGCTAACGGCGTGGAAGCTCACCCACCAAAGAGCGATGGTGGACAACCAGCCCGCCATCGCCCTCGCGAAGAATCCGGTTCTGCACAACCGGAGTAAACACATTGACGTGAAGTTCCACTTCCTCAGGGACTGTGTTGATGGAGGGCAGATCGTCATCGAGTTTGTCGAAACTGGTCGGCAACTCGCGGACGTCCTCACCAAGCCGCTCGGACGACTTCGACTCACGGAGCTGAAGGAGATGATCGGTATGGAGGGGGTGCAAGGGTTAGCAGTAGGATTAGGGAAAGATTGTTAGCTAATCTACTGCCACCTTGTGTGAAACACAGCAGAGGAAGGCGGCGCCGACTTTGCCCCTTTGTATCATCAGAGCTGCAGTGCGAGCGCCAGACGGCTCACCTGCAGCACTATAGGCACATGCAGTGGCCGGCGCAGAGTCAGCCCTGTATGCTTATCTAGTTACTGTTACAGCATGTGCGCTGCACTTTAGTTAGATAGATAGAGTTGTATAAATAGGGCACCAAGGCAACTCAGTAAAGAGAGCTCAGATTTGTCATCACACAGACAGGGCCTCGACCAACGTTGTTGTCTTGTATTGTGCGTGCTTGCTCTGTTCTCCCTTCTTCTTCTAGCTCGATCCGTAGTGTGTGGGTACGGACACAACCGGTATAGTGGTCTGGAAGACTAGTGGTCTAGAGACTAGTGGCCTGGTCTGCGAGACTAGTGTGGTCTGGTCTGGGAGACTAGTGGTCTGAGAAGACTAGTGGTCTGGGAGACTAGTGGTATGGTCTGAGAGACTAATGGTCTGAAACTAGTGGTCTAGAGACTAGTTCACTATCATCAGACGGTGATCCCGTAGGCCAACACTAACTGCATCACCTGCGGCACCCATTTTGGGGATACAAACTTGTGGCTTCGACTACTGACAGACCTGCACCGACTAACTTGTGTACCCATTTTGGGGATACAAACTTGTGGCTTCGACTACTGACAGACCTGTAGTTTCGACTACTGACAGACCTGCACCGACTAACTTGTGTACCCATTTTGGGGATACAAACTTGTGGCTTCGACTACTGACAGACCTGCACCGACTAACTTGTGTATCAGTTGGATCTTCACAGATGTTGGAACATTGCCCTTTTCATTTTGCAGGGCATCCCGTGGTCCAACCTCAACTATCTTCACAAACCTTGGCAGTTCCCACATAACCTGAGAGGACAGATTGTTGTGGATTAAAAGAAAGCGTTGTGGTGCTAATATCGTCATTGTTGTAGTTTTTAAATGCTATTTACTCTAAATAGTACTAGATTGGAAGATCATGACTAGGTAAGTAAAGCAAAGGCTGAGCTGATGGACAAAACTGATTATCAGGTCAGTCCTAATTATATATGTGTGGTTGAAAATACCTTCCGAGGAAGATCTCTAAGCTCCATCGCATCACATGATGAATCGGCTTGACGGCATTGCGGATGCCAGGGATAGGAGTTGCCATGGAAGGGACTGCCATTGCAGGAGTTGCTGTATCTGAAAGAAAGCAAACAATACAAACTTCAAACGATCCATTCACTGAACAAAAACCCATTTCAAGAAAAGCATTGGACGAAACAACACTGATCACCCATCTGACTTGAGTAAACGAATGCCATTCTGCACATCAACTGCTCATATTTATACGCCTGTGAGACCAGTACAGCCTGCAACTCGCTTATTAAAAATAGGATCTTAGTAAAGCCATTCTCTTCCTTTAAGTAGCACAGTACTAGTAGATTTTTGAACTAATCCAGAAATCAATACTTCAATGGACACATCATACGGAGTAGTATAGGAGTACAATTCCTTCCCCTGCGTTACGAGCCACAGACCCGATTTGCGTGAGAATGTGTAGTACTAGTCTCCTCTCTCTTGTATCTATTGAATGGTTCTGAAACGTGGCGAGACCGATTGACGATTCGGCTCCACCAAGAACGAATCTCACTGGTGATGAAGGCATGTAGTGGACCGGTGAGCATGTGCGTTAGTGGCTGGTTTTCTTTCTCGTTTTTTTTTTTCAAATTAATATAATACAGCAGAGAGGATACGGAAGACACGGTGTTTCGTTTTCAGCTGATCTGAATCAAAGATGAGAAAATGATTGCGTTTTATTAGCTCATCGGCAAAAATATAAGCACATATGCGCAACGTGCCGCTAATAGGAAATTGACAAATCAGCCTCATTAGATGGAAATAGGTAATAAGACGGGTCACAACGTTGCGGTGCGGAAATCAGTCAAAGAAAGAATATTTTATTGATTTAGCAAATCGAGGCAGGAACATGCCGCCTCGAGTAGCGTTGTATTTCGCTTCGGCATCACAATTTGCAATGGCACTCCCTGATGTTTGGTCTCCCTCTAATCTTCTCCCTCCTGCTTCAAGCATCGGTTGCAGGCTGTACGCTGTGGGTAGTCTACGGCGTCCACCGTGCATGTGAGGCATTTGGCGCTCAAATTAAGGAATTGGAGAAATGCCTCACCAGTACTCCGAATTCAGCTTCTTTGTTAGACAATAGATGACCACGTTATAGTGCTCACTTCGTCACATAAAGGATTTTTTTCCTAGATCTAGCTTTATCTTATGTGAAACATTTCTATGCATTATCAAAAGTGAGGTCGATGTGTTAGGCCTTTTGCAATGCACGCTTGAAGTGAAGCCCAAATGCGAGAGAGACGCTTTGAGCATCGCTCGTACCACCGCGACAACCGATGCCCACGATGAAATTTCTGGGAGCGGAGCAAGCATAGGAACCGATGCTTGAATAGTAAACAAAATCAAGGTCCCAAATGCAGACATGGAATTGCTTGAAAGGTCAACATGGCATTCATTGTAGTCCTGCCATTTCTACTGGCTGCGACGCATATTAAGGGAAGAAATGAAGCTGCACAATGTGAGCAGGAATTGCACAATGCATCACAACGACGTGCCTATCATGTACAATTTCGAGCACCAATCACACTGTGGGAGCTAAGGCCTCATGGTGCTTGGGCGGATCGGAACCACTGGTTACCCACAACTTATGTTTCTCTCCTAATCGGTTCTTTCTGATTTTTAAACATTAAATCTTATCAATTAGGGTCTAACTAAACTTTAGCTGACTAAATTTAGATGCTAGTGATTCAAACGCTACAGCTAAAAGACCAGCTAAAGTTTAGCTACTTCAACCCAGCTAAACCCAGCTAAAGTTTAGTTGAGTTTATTAGCTGGAGGATTCAAACGTTCCAGCTAAAGTTTAGCTTGGAAAACTTTTAGCTAGCTAAAATTTAGCTTTGAAATTTTAACTAGCTAAATTTTAGTGGGTAGATCCAAACGTGCCCTTAAAAGTTTGTCATTAGTCCCAAGTACTGTAATTTATTTCTACAAAAAAGTATCTATAGAAAATATCTCTCATGACCGCAAAAAAAGTATCTCTCATGGTGAACAAACACGTAAACGAATCTTATGATGTTAAACATGATTTTGTACAAACTGATGGTCAACAATATATAGAAATGCTTGGTTTAATTTTTGTGTAATATTAAAACAGTAACCATTCCGAAACAGAGAGTAGGGATTTTCTATGACCATATCCGACATTAGAAAAACCAGGCTAAGAGATGCATCTATGTCCATGTTATTGCGAGACAACACAAAATTAACACAGAATGATACGTTAAGATGCGGAACAAACTAAACTAATTTATTGTGAAGAGAGTATCCACACAGAATGATACGTTAAGATGCGGAACAAACTAAACTAAACTAAACTAATTTACTGTGAGAAGCCGGTGGAGGATGTAGACGTTGCTATCTGACCCGATTTGCAAATATGTATCTGTACTGAAATGGATGGGACGAGGCCGATTGACAATATAATTTTCGGTTGACCCGATCAAATAAAATCCGGCAGGCACGGATTATATATATTTTGTCTCGTGGTAGTTCTAGAAGAAACCAAGCTTAATTATGCGCAACGCAACGTGCTGGGGATCACAATTCACAGAACATGCACCCATTATTATTTATTAGATGAAAATCAAAGAATTTATTTGCAGCAACATATTAAATATAGCCAGCCTGATCGGATGTGTTTATTCGTCTGCACCTGCTGTTGCATTGCACGCAGATAATTGGCTCTAGTCAATCTTGCAGGCTTATTAAGTGACGGTGGGCCTTGGCTGTTGCTAGTATTGGGCCTTTTGCGTAGTCCAGGCAGCGATCCATAGATCTGAGCTAGTGAAATATGAGATGGCAATATTCGTCCACATCTGATATGATTTTAATTTTCTCAAAAAAAACATCTGATATGATTTTAACGGACAAATTATTCCATGCATTTATCTATTCCATCATACTAGTGTTAATGAAATTAATTTTTTAAGAGAACTCGATAGGTTAACTACCGGTCTATGTAATGATAGATAAGGTGAAAACTCGAAGAACAAACACCATTGTTAGTTTGTTACATCACAATAACACCAAACACCAACACAAAACCCTGAAGATAACACAAAACTGCCGCCACATCAACTTCCAACCCTGCATGAGCAACAAGGGAAAAAAAACAAGTTGTAGCAACAACCACTGTGGGAAGGAGTTCTCTAATTAAAGTGATGCCTCCATGGAGGATATATATACGTCGTCCTCGGACACCACGAATGGCAAACAGAAAATCCGTGTATGGTTTTTCAACTGAGAGCCCTCAAGCAAAAAGAGAAATAGACTTCACAACGAAGCCTCCAACGAGGAAAGAGGCGTCAAAGACGTCTCCATTCAGCTTCAGCATGGCAATCACATACATATGGAATTAACTGAAGATACAATTATATATATATATATATGTATATATATATACACACACACACATGGGATGATGGCCGCTCAACCCTTGTCCGCTAATTTAAGGCTAGCTAGACAATGGCACATACGACATGCATGTACATGGGGCTCAGCTCAAGCATCAGGGGTCTGGAAGGAAAGGACCAAGGATATACATGAGAACGAGAAGATGCGTGATGAACTCCCCACCAGTTCATAGATGCTCATAGTGGAAAGCAGCTCCACACCGAGGCACAGTGTAGTATACCATCTCTGTGTTAAGTAATCTGCTACTCTCCTTGTGTGAATGCACGGTAGGGACAGGCGGCGTCGAAAAGGATTCCCTGCTGTTGCACTGTAGCAGCTACAGGGGCAGGCGCCGAATGGCTCTCCTACCACACTATAGCCACAGCAGGGGCAGGCGCCAAACTCAGTCCTGCTGTCACATCTAGTCACTGTAGCAGCATGACAGCATAACATGTCTGTGTGCTAGGATTAGATGGGTAGAGTTGTATATATAGTTTGCCACAGCGAGTTCAGTTTTGTCCTCTCCTCTGCAGAGCTCCGACCAACGCTGGTGCTTATGCTGTGTGTGTGCTCTGTTCTTCCTCCCTTTTTCTACCTCTAGCCATAGTGTGTGGTCGGCAACGATAGTGCGTAGTCGGCAATGAAAGGTGAGTGATCGACTCACCCGTGCCGATGATCTAGGGGCTAACACTCTGCCCACACCGAGGCGATAAACTCCCAGCGCTTTCTCATTGCTGATGCTAATGAGCTCCTGGGCCAACTCACTTGCACGCGGCAGCACAGAATTTGCGTTCTGATGGAGTTTCTTCAAATGATTGGCAGCTGCATCAGCACCACTGTCGAGTGATCTTGCCGGTTCTTGATGTCGTTCCTGCTTGTTCTTGGTTGCATCGAAAAGCTTGCTAACAAAATCATTGATCTCTATCTTCTTCCCGGCAGCAAAGGGTTTAATCGCGTGATGAGCTATGTCATGTACTAACTGAGAGTTGGTAGTGAGCATCACACGGCATTTGAAGATAGGGTACATGATATAGTTTGATAGCTCTCTGCTGATCTGCTTATGCTTCTTGGTCAGCTGTCGATCATCAGGGCTAGTACTGCTGGCGGCGTTGTCTATGGAGTCGCACCGGTAGTAGCACATGCCTGTTGCAATGTGCCAGATGAGCACGCTTGTTGGGAAATTGGTAATGCCATCGCTGGTTGTCTTGACTAGTGCTTTTCTTGGCCTCTCAAAATCTAGAATTTCGTGTTTGTCCTGTTAGCTACTTTGGATCATCTAGGAGTGGATCCAGTGGGTGTTTACTTGTATTTGGGATAATCAGTGACTTAGAGATTCAGAGGGAGACAGAGAGAAGGTGACCCATACCTTCGGGCTTGGCAGAGAAGGAAGTAATCGTCGTGGCTCCAGTGTAGGTGAAGCTCTGCGCTAGGCAGCGACGGTCGGAGAAGAGGGGCATCGCAGTGGAGACCGGTGGTGGCGCTTCCCACCGCTGGCAGTGCCTTCCTCTCGATCGGACTAGGGTTAGACGATGGAGTTGTGGCGGCGGCAGTGAACCTCGTATCCCGAGCCGTTTACCCCACCTCCTCTTTATAGGCACTGTGCGATGGGGGCCCACCAGCCACTAGATGGCTGGACGTCCCCAATCAGGATGC